TGGAGTTGGCTCTACCCCAGTGCAAAACTAGAGATCAGAGGGAATGACACTGGAAAGCCCTTCATCTCTGGTGTTACTCTAGTAAACCATAAACTTCAGGTGCCCCAAATGTGCCTAAATTGTAATTTTTTTTTTTTTCAAAATAAGGATAAAACTACACTACAATGACTATGCCTGTCTCGACCACTAAGGGCTCCTGGATTTTTCTACCTGTGTAAAGAACCATCTGTATTTACACATTAGGCTATCTATCTGGTGCAGTGATTAAATGCATTGCTGCTAAATGAAACATCTGTGGCTTGAACCTACAGAAAGTCCTTTAGGAGAAAAGAGAAAATGTAATACGCTCCCGTTAAGGTTTAATGAAAGGAAATTTTTGGTTCTACTCTGTTGAACACAGGTACACCAAGTCAGAATTAACTGCACCCGGCAACTGCATCTAATTTTCTAATCAATGTTTCTCTTATACTGGAAAAAAAAAGAAAAAACCCAACCACTAAACCCTGTGTGTTGACTCGAATAGGTTTAAATCAAGTGTATCGCAGCTCCTTTAAGACTGCTACTTTTACCACGTATGTCATAGTTTATGAAATATTTCCACACTGAGGCCTGTCTTTGTCAGTGTTAAGCTCCCAGCACCTGGAACTATCTTCTTTGCCCTTGGTAAGTGGCTGTGAGATGAGTGAGTAAATGGATCACATATTCTAACATCCTTAAGGGCTAAAAACTATCTCATAAGTCACTGCCACCAAGTTGGAACAACTCCTGTCTGACCCTCCAACTGTTTTGAGGTGCTGTACATCTCACTGGAGACTGTCCATCTTTCTCCCACCAGAGCTCCCTTAAAGGAGTATGTTGTTGTTAAGTGCCGTCGAGTCTTAGGCAACTCATAGCAACCCTACGAACGAAAGTCCTCAACACTTGTGTAATTTTCATCCTTTCTCCAGGTTCACAGGGTTTCCAGAGGCAAGCTATTACAGAAGTGGATGCCACTCCTGCTTCTAAGTTTGTTTTAATTGGGGAGCTCCACCAAACACTGTCAGCCATGAGTATGCATTTGAAAGGCCTATAACTAGTACAGAAAAGGAAGAAATTATTTGAGAAACTTTGTTCTGCAGGAAATCCAGTTCTGGCGGTCTAGTCCACAGGAAGTTGCACTGCTAACCCGAAGGTGGGACCACCGACGGTTCGAATACTGTTCTACAGTCTCCTCCTGAGAGATTTGTTGTTGTATGTGCCGTCGAGTCGTTTGTGACTCATAGCAACCCTATGTACAACAGCCCTAAACCCTGCTCTATCCTGTGCCAATTGCATTGCCTCTGATACACCCATCCCGATTACCCCGTCACTGAATCAATCCACCTCATAGAGGGTCTTCCCCTCCTGCGCTGTCCCTCTACTCTACCCAGCATGATGTCCCTCTCCAAAGACCTGTCTCTCCTTGCAACATGTCCAAAGTATGTCAGACGAAGCCCCAGAATCCTTGCCTCCAAGGAGTAGCCTGGTTTAACCCTCTCCAGGATGAATCTGTTTGTTTTCTTGGCAGTCCATGGTACATTCAGTACTCTTCTCCAGCACCACAGCTCAAAGGCATCAATTCTTCTGTCCTCCCTAGTCATTGTCCAGCTCTCTGATGCATAACAAGTGATTGCAAAGACCATGGCCTGTATCAGGCGTACCTTCGTCTCCAAAGAGACACCGTTGCTCTTGAGTACTTCAGAGAGGTCCCTAACAGCAGACTTTCCCATCGCAATACGTTTTATTTCCTGGCTGCTGGTGCCAAGAGTGTTGACTGTGGAGCTGAGCAAACTGAAGCTGTGAACAATCTCAATCTCTTCGCCATCCATCCTGATGCTACCAATTGGTCCAGTGGTGAGAATCTTTGTCTTCTTGACATTGAGCCTCAGTCCATAGTGAAGGCTGCAGTCCTTGACCCTTCGCAGCAAGTGCATGAGATCCTCCTCAATTTCAGCAAGCAAGGTTGTGTCATCTGCATAACGCAGATTGTTGATAGATCTTCCACCAATCCTAACTCTTAGAACATTTAATCGTGCTAATGCGAAACCTATACTTGGACCAAGAGGCAGTCGTCAGAACAGAGCAGAGCAGAGCAACACTGAATGGTTCAAAATTGGAAAGGGTATGCACCAGGGATGTGTCCTATCTCCATACCTTTTCAACCTGTATGCAGAGCAGATTATCCGAGAGGCTGGGCTCTATGAGGAGACGCGTGGCGTTAGGATTGGTGGAAGACCTGAGAGATTTAATCTCGGAAAATCCACTGGAGCACAATCTAAGTGAGTCCCTACTCAGCAAAAAATTGAGGTTGAGATTTCTTTTTACTTTGAGGAATTCCAACATAAGGTAATGTGAAATTTGTGAAGTAATTTTAAAAGGGAAGAAAAGATGTATTTTTACAGAAAAGGTTCAGATTTGCTTACTTGACAAAAGAACAATGTATCCTAAAATTGGTAAGTTGTGACAAAAACAGCTTCCTTTCAAATACCTGAAATTTACCAATGCTTTGCCTTTGCTAAGCGGTGCTAGAGAAGGTCCTGAACACACCATGGACTGCTAAGAGAACCAACAGGTATGTCCTGGAGAGAGTGAACCTGAGCTGCTCCATGGAGGCAAAGATTTTGAAGTTCCGTCTCACATACTTTGGGCATGCTGCCTGCCAGGAGGGACCAATCCTTGGAGAACATCATGGTTGGAAGGGTGCAAGAGAGGAAGACTCTGGATGAGATGAATTGACTCAGTAACTGGGATAATAAGGGTAGGTGTGATGGAGACAGTGAAATTGGCTCAGGATAAGACTGGGTTCAGAGCATTGTACATAGTATCACTATGAGTTGCAGGTGACTCGGTGGCACATAACAACATAATATAAGGCATACCCAAACGGACTTCTTTGGGTTATTCATTTTAATACAGTATTCATGCTGTGGTGGTACAAATCACATTATTTGTATTGACTAATTCTTGTTTGACTCTTTCATGACAATCTTACAACATTTACAAAAACGGTTTCAAACAAATGGTGCAGAAAGGACAAATCTGAAGTACAGAACAGAAAACACAGGACTATGGTGGATCACCTTGAATATATTTTAATTCAAGAAAAATATTCAACACAGTCTCATGTTGATGAGATGGCAGTTCCAGGTTTCCTGTGAGTTGTTCTTAGTAGCTACTGAAATTATAAATAATTAAGCAGTCATGTAACAATGGGTAGCTGAACAACCAGAGTTTTAAACATATATATTCTTTACGGGAGTATTTCTGCTAAACATATTATTTTCATTTCAGTCAATCCTAAATGCCTTATAATTCTCTGCTCACTAGAGCATCAGTAACTCTTAGTTCCCATTAGATACATGTAAATTTAAACAAGTATTATTAAAGAAACTGGAAACAGCCATCTCATTCAATCATAGTTCTAAAGGCAAGGCAGTAAGTTAAAATTAGACTGATGTGTTTCATTGATGGAAATTTTTGGTCTCAAAAGAAACCAGAGGTATTTAAGAAACAAGAAATATAAAACCACACTGCAGAAAAACAAAACACAACACTGACAGATATTATTCTGTAGTTTATAGAATTAAGGGTTAAAACAATATTTTTAACAGGGAAGAATTTCTCACAAGTTAGATTATTTGGAATGTATTTATAGTCATTGACATTTGTAGAAAGAAACCAGCAATAATTCTATACTGTTTTGTAACTTTTTTAGCCATAAAGTAGCATGTTACTTTTTTGCTTAGTTATTTCATTACTTTCAAAAACTAATTACTAACAAAATTAAATTACAGCTCACTTTTTATTGTACTCATACAGCAGTATATCAATGTTAGTTGTCATTCATTAGATCTTGGTTTCTCAAAATATTTTTATCTAGGTCAAGAAAAAATGGGCAGAAGGAAACTTCACCCAAATTATGTAGCAGTGTTAAACAAATTCCATTTCTGAGCCAAAAGTAAATCATTTATGTCTTCAAACTTTCTCTTGTAACTTTTCTTATAGCAATATAATTTTGCATTTTGGCCAAAGAGAGCTGTTTTCTTTTGGCAGATAAAATCATGCTTCTGGAGAAACATTGATTTAGATCTGTAGAATCTGTCTCTTTTTCAATAGAGCACTAACAAATAGACCATTATATATTTATTTTACTTAACTTGTATCTTTCAAATGTCTGATAGAATGAAAAGATTTGAAATCTGCTCTATATTTTTCCCCCAATATACATAATTACGCTCAATTTAAATCAATTTCCCAAAATAATTGGGTTTTGTCCAAAATTCAAGATATCTCAAAATGTGTTATAAAAAGTTGTCAATTAAAAATTAAGTCACAGTGCTTTAAGTGTAATATGCTTTTAAAAAATCAACTATTGCACATTCATGGATATTTGGAAACAAATATATTTCAACTTTGGAGGAAAAATATACTTGGTGATGTGTTAGAAGAATGAGTCCATGAGTTTACAAAACATAAGATGGGTTAAGTTACTCCGAAATTTATGGAAAACATCAGTATGCCTTGTTTTGTTTGAAGAGAAATTAAAAGCTTCCACTTAGACGTTGTAAATGCTAAAATAGTTAATTGCTGTCAATAGTGTCACCAAAATTAATGTGTAATATTAGTTTCAATATTACTCAAAATCAATTCTTCTCAACAATAACAATTTGTGTTTCCTTTAATAAGGGTTATATGGTAGCTTTTGTTTTCCTTTTTTTTTTTAGCTTTCATTTTTAAGAGTCTCATTTCTTGACAGGATTATAACAAACACTTTTTTAGATTCGCAGTGAACTTTAATTCTAGCAGTGTAAATTAAAAAATTATTCACATTCACAACCAAGGAATACCACTATTGCACATTATACTTCTTGTTTTAGGAATATGTTCCCCATTTCCTAGTACTTACATCTCATTATCTGAACTGGTAACACTCAAAGTGCTTATGTTCGTCCACTGAACAAGTACATTAATATTCCTGAGTCTCAAAATACTTCATGAACTTTGAAGTGATTCTCTATAGATGGAGATTCCTTTGCAAAATGAATTTGGCTGGTTACCTGCACACCGAACTCTCCAAGTATTTGAACAAATTTCTTATGCTCCTTTCCAATCCAAGATCTCATTGGATCACGTACTTGGTAAGGTGTTACATGAGTGTGAACAATAATCTCTGTTTGTGCAAATTCTTTTAAGACTTCTGGAAAAGTAACCCAAGTATTGCTTCCTCCAGAATGACCACCATCCAGCCAATACATTGTCCTTATGCTTTTGATAAAGTCATCTATATTCTTGTCTTTCTTGGCTTCTTTTAATTCAAAAAGCAACTGATTCAGAACCACACAACCTTTACTGAATCCAATCAGAGTAAAAGATGCACCATTTAGTGATGGTGGATAAAAACTCAAGGCAGACTCATCAGATTGTTCACAAGTCCTCTCTTTTTCTCCCTGGCAACCATTACTAGTGTGAGAAGAACTGGATCTACAATTAGATGCTTTGAAATCCTTATTCAAAACATTCACATTCTTCTTTGAAAGCAGACTGTTTTGGGTTAAATTAAAAGCATTAACTAATAACATATAAAGGTGCTTAAAAGCACCAAAGTCAGGATTGTGTTCTGGGGCACCAAACATATTGCTTTTCACAAAATTGTCATAGCAGCTGAATTTGTGCAAATGCATCCGGGAACTTTTTATCACCCAAATATAACTATTGGGGAACCGCTGGGCTAGAATGCTGGCAACATTTTCTAGACTCCAGTTTTCCCACTGGTAATTCTCAGGATGACGAGTCATAATTTCATGATAATTCTGAAAAGTAAGAAAGAGGAAATAACCATTAATTCACACTGACATAAAATTGTTTCTTGACAATGTTGTTGTTACGTGCTGTCGAGTCAAGTACAATCCATAGCAACCTCATGAACAAATATTCCCCATTTTATTGTGGGAGAAGCTGGGGTATTATAATAGTCTGGTGGCCTAGTGGTAAGGACATACGTTATCAACTTGAAGGCATGATGTTCTAATCTATCAGTTGCTCTATGGGAGAAAGATGGACAACCTTCTGTACAATATATATGTATATACAAAAAATTTCATTTAGGACACGTGATAAATTGTCTGATTAATAGAAAACATAAGTTAGCAGACATGAATTTTAAAACATTTTCCTATATAAGCTGCCATTCTGTATCCCTCCCTCTTTAGGTTACCCTAACAATCTAAACAGTATGCTTGCTTTCTATCTTGGCATTACAAACAATGTGTAACTAAACATTAGAGAAAATCTTTGCATGTATCTTTACACATTAAATCTGTGATTGTATCTTGCACATTAATTCCTAGCTATGAAAAAAGTAGGTCAAAGATAATTTAAGGTGGTGATAAAGTGAATATTGCCTTGAAGGGAGGCATTATTCCTTACCAATTGTTAGGTGCTGACCAATAAGCAATTCATAGCAACGCCAAGAGCAACAGATCTGAACCTTACCCTTGCCCTTGCCTCTAAAAGCAACAGATCTGAAACTTGTACATCCTCATGCTCTCCATCATGTTTGAACCCACTAGGTTGTCATGGTGACTGTAATATTATCGTCCACATTAGTGAAGAGGTCCTCTTTCTCGCTAACCCTCTATCTTTCCCAGCATGGTATCCTGTTCCAAGGACTAGTCCCCTCTTGACAACATAACCCAGTCTATGAGAGGAAGTTTCACCATCCTTGAGTCTCAAGAACAACTTGGTTGCACTTCCTCCAAAACAGATTTGTTGAATTGATGTTCTTCTTGTTGTGTGCCACTGAGTCTCCTGCAACTCATAGCAACCCTATGTACATTAGCTCTGAACTGTGCCCAATCCTGGGCCAATCTCATTATCTCTGACATACCATGACTCCCATGTCTACAGTCACTGAGTCAATCCATCTCATCCTGGGTCTTCCTCTCCTGTGCTGTCCCTCCACCCTTCCAATTATGATGTCCCTCTCCAAGGATTGGTCCCAAAGTGTGCCCAAAATATGTGAGAAAGAGCCTCAAAATCCTTACCTCCAGGAAGCAGCCTGACTCACCCTCTCCAGGAAAGACCTGTTTGTTCTCTTAGTTTTCAGTCAATACTCTCCTTCAGCACCATAGCTCAAAGCCATCAATCCTTCTATCATCCTTAGTTATTGTCCAAGTCTTGTATGCACAGCAGGTACTTGTGAAGACTATGGCCTGGGTCAGGTGCACCTTAGTCTCCAGAGTGACATTATTGCTTTTTAGTGCTCAAGAGAGGTCTCTGACAGCAGACTTTCCCAGTGCAATTCGTCTTTTGATTTCCTCACTGCTGGTACCAAAAGTGTTGATTGTGGAACCAAGCAAGTTGAAGTTACCAACAAATCTCAATCTTTTCTCCACCCCCTAATAGGCCCAGTGGGGAGATTATTTGTTTTTGTGATATTGAGCTTCAATGAATATAGAAGACTACAGTCCTTGACCTTCTGCAGTTAAGGTTGTCATCTGCAAAACAATCTTCCAATGGATTGGAAGAGGTCCATATTTGTTCCTACTCCCAAGAAGGTTGATCCAACTGAATGTGGATATTATTGAATAATATCATTTCTATCACATGCAAGCAAAATACCACTGAAGATCATTTAAAACTGGCTGGAACAGTACATAGATAGGGAATTGCCAGAAGTTCAAGTAGGATTTAGAAGAGGCCATGGCACCAGGGATATCACTGCTGATGTCAGATGGATCCTGGCTGGAAGTAAGGAATAGCAAAAGAATGTGTATTTGTGCTTTATTGACTATGCAAAGTTGGATCATGAAAAGTTGTGGCTGAAACTGAGAAAGGGAATCCCAGAGCACTTGACTGTGCTCATGCAGAACCTATACTTGGATCAGGAGGCTGTAGGGTGAATGGAGCAGGGGAGCACTGCATAGTAGGGATTGGGAAGGGAGCGCATCAGGGCTGTATTCTCCATACCTGTTCAATCTATGTGCTGAGCGAATTACCTAAGAAACTGGACTCTGTGAAGAGGTATGTGGCATCAGAATTGGAGGGAGACTATATGAATAATGTGCATCATACAGATGACCTTACTTGCTGAAAGTGAGGAGGACTTGAAGCACCTGCTGCAGAAGATCAAGGAATACAGCCTTCAGTATGAACTGCATCTCAGTATCAAGAAAACAAAGATTCTTACCACTGGACCAATAAGCAGTGTCATGATGTGAAGAAGATTGAAACTGTCAACAGCTTCATCTTGCTTGAATCCAAATACCCTTGGAGCAGTCAGGAAATAAGCAGATACACTGCACAGGGAAAATCTGCAGTTAGAGACCTTTCCAAATTATTGAGAAGTAGTATTATCAGTTTGAGGACTAAGGTGCATCTGATTCAGGCCATAGTCTTTCCGATCACTTGCTATGCATCCGAGACCTGGACGATGAACAAGGATGACAGAAAAAGAACTGACACCTCTGAGCTATGCAAATGGAGAAGAGCACTGACCATCCATGGACGGCCAAGAGAACGAACAGATATAGATATCTCTTGGAGATGGTGCAGCCAGAGTGCTCTTTGGAGGGGAAGAATGATTAGGCTTCGCCTCACATAATTTGGACATGTTGCTAGAAGGTGCTATTCCTTGGAGAAGGACATGATGTTGGGAAGGGTGGAGGGTCAGTGAAGGAGAAGAAGACCTTTAACCAGGTAGACTGACACAGTGACTGCTGCAATGGGTTCTTGTGTGTCAGGAGGTGTGAGGATGGTGAAGGACAGGACTTGGTTCAGATCTTTTGTTAATAGGGTTGCTATGAGCCATACTTGACTCAATCGCACCTAATGACAACATCTGCATAACATATTGTTGACGAGTCTTCCTCCAATCCTGATGCCACACTCCTCCTCATAAAGTCCAACCTCCCAAATGATCTGTCTGCATATATATTAAAAAGGTATGGAGATAGGATGCACCTTTCTTGATCCTGAACCATGCAGTGTTTCCCTGTTCTGTTCTGACTACTGACTCCTGGTCCAAGTATAGATTTTGCATGAGCACAATCAAGTGTTCTGGGATCCTCATTTTTCTCAAGATTAGCCATAATTTGTTGTGATCCACACAGTCAAATGTCTTTGTATCGTTAATGAAACGCAGATGGACATTCCTTTGGTACTGTCTACTTTCAGCCAAGATCCATCTGATGTTGGCTATGATAGTCCATGGCAAATTCAGTGCTCCTCTCCACCACCAAAACTCAAAGGCATCAATTCTTTTTTGGTCTTCCTTATTTACTGTTCAGCATCATGCAGCACCATGACGGATGGAAACAGAAATTGAGGCTGTTAACATTTATAGCTTGCTTGGCTCTACAATCAACACATTTGGCACCAGCAGTCAGGAAATCAAAAGACGAATTGCATTGGGAAAATAAGCTGTTAGGGACCGTTCCAGAGTACTGAAAAGCAAGGATGTCAGTCTAGAGACTAAGGTGCGCCTAATCCAGGACATGGTCTGATTATAAACTCACTGTCATTGAGTCAGTTCCAATACACAGTGATCCTCCACCCGACTGTAACTCACAGAGGGAGAACACAGTCCATTTTCCCCTGTGAGCCCCTGGCTGGAGATACTCAGCCTTCCTGTTAGCAGTGAAACTCACTATGGTCTACAGTACCAAATCTCAGAAATGCATTTGGTTTATACTTAGAGCACGTCAGCTTAGATGCTACATATTAATGGAGATACGTGACTAGCACTTACTTAGCTTAAACAAAATTTAAATTTGGAAAAGTACACTCACATACACAAATTCTTCCAGATATTCTTAAAAAGTTTTCCAGGAACTGAACCAAGATCAATTTTTAAACTGACATTAATTAATATTTAGGGTACTCTTAGAAGCCCATCTTGACACTAATTCATTATTTGGTTTTCACTGCATCTGGTGGTGCAATACATTATAAATCTTCCTAATTACCATTACCTTCCTGATGTTCCTTTTGGTGAATGTCTTTTATCCTATACTTGCCCTTCTATTGTCTGAATTACAGAAAAGCTGATGTCACAGTAACTCAAATATATATATAAATATATGTAAGAAGGGACCGGTCCTTAGAGAGGGCCATCATGCTTGGGAGGGTGAAGGGACAGCGCAGGAGGGGAAGGCCCTCCATGAGGTGGACTGATTCAGTGACTGGGGTAATGGGGGTAGGTGTGTCAGAGACAGTGCAATTGGCACAGGACAGGGCAGAGTTTAGGGCTGTTGTACACAGGGTTACTATGAGTTGCAAGCAACTTGACAGCACATAACAACAACTATATATATACACACACACATATATATAATAAATTATATATATATATATATATATATATTCACTGTTGTTAATTGCCTTCGAGTCGAGCATGACTCATAGTGACCCCATGAACAAAAGGTCTGAAGCCCTCCACAACCATCAACTTTTATCAACGTTCATAGAGTTTCCGGAGGGGCATGTTATTTAGGAAGTTGATGCCACTCCTGCTTCTAAATACACACACACACACACACACACATATATAACATCTCTATGTTTCTTATTAATCAGAAATTATTCACACTGGAGGATGAGGATGATTATGATTTTTTAATAGTAGGCGACCTGGCACTGACTGCTAACAAAGAGGTTGGCATTTCAAACCACTCTCAGCATTTCCCACAGGAAAATACCTGAGGGTCTGTTCTGTAAGGATTACTGCCCAGAAAGCTAAATGGGACAATTCTATTCTATTACGAGGTCACCACAAACAGATGCTTTCCAATTTCCCAGTTATCTTATTTTT